CCAGACAACGGAAAGAACTTCTGTCCTTTTCTTCGCCTGTAACGTTTTAGCGCAACTGCAATAGTTGCATCGCACGCATAACTAGGTAATGCCTTGCTCCCTTGCAAGCCATATCCAGGCCAAACTGCAGAAGCAATGCAATGTAATGACACGCCACTCAGCAAGAACGACACTATGGGCTGAGCACATGCTGTAATGTTCTGCGCAGTCAACTTCAACAAGCATTGCTCTGCGGGCCCAATGGCATCACTTTCAGTTCATGTCACCCTTGGGCGGGACGTGACGGGTTAAGCAGAACCCCGCGGCGACCGCGGCGCGTCAACGACAGCGCCTGGAGAGACAGCAGGCGACGCTCCCACCCGCTAACCGACGCGCTCGCCCCGCGGATATCAGGCTTCGTTTGCCTCACGACGGATGACTTAGTCATGCTCATTAAGTTATCATGCGCGTTAGCATGCCTCCTGCCCACGCCGAGGGCACTGGGGAAAACTGGGAACAAGGTCGGCTTCCAGCTAGCCGGTTAGCCGGCTCGCTGGAAGCCGACCGGCTAGCTAGCCAGTTAGCCGGCTAGCCGCCGACCGGTGGGCTTGCCGCAGGTGACGACTAGCCGCCCGTGCGGAGATCGGGGAGCTCTTGATGCACGTGCACGTGCAAGGATTCAAACCATGGATTTGGTTTGCGCTCCAAATGCGCTCCGAATGCGCAAACCATGCGCTCATTCTCTCCGGTAACCATGCCGCCACGATTGCAGATACAGGTGGTATATCCCGAGACTTGATCTCGTAAGTCCTATTGTTTATTTTTTGGTCATACCTGAATGTTCATGTATGATCAGAACAACAATACGTAGGACACTCGAATGCTATCAAAAAATTGCTAGATGCAGCGGGAAAAATATTTTTGGGATTGGTATGCAAAAGTAAAAAAACAAACACACCCAAATAATGCAAACATTCTTGGGTATTCAAAGTAGTCATGATTTTTATGACTTCTGCATCCCATCTTTTCCACACTTATCGATTCTAAAACGTGAAAGGGTGTTACATAAGAGTAACACTGTCTGTGTTTGACGGTGAGAGCGGTTTGAGAGAATGTCTAAGGCTTGGCAGACCTAAGAAACAGACTTGCTCTAAAAATATTCAGATGACTGAAATGTGTTTGATTACATTCCAATACATGCTCTTCCCCACAACAAAAAGGAAAACTAATTCTGGACCCTGCATTAGTGCCTGCATTACCCACCACCCGGCCACAGAATCAACCCGCTGGTAACACGGCGGCGCCAGGCCGGCTAGACCGGCCGCCACCGACCTCGCCGGGACTAAGCCGCCGGGTCTCCGCGCCGCTGCCTCCCCCCCCCCCCCCCCCCCTCCCCCACCCCGCGGCCCGCCAGTCCTTCCGCGCGATCGCCACGGCAGGCCGACTGGACGGCGTTCCTGCGGGAGAGGTGGCCTGCCGTGGGGCCCCGCGCCACCCCGAGGAATCGAATATAGCCTCGGCGCGCGCTGTCCGGCCTGAGAGCGCCGCGTCCCAGCCAGCTTCACCCCCTGCCGAGGAGGGAGGGGTCCCTCCCGCGTAGTCACACCGAGCGGTCTGAATCTGGACATTCAGGGCCTTGGTCTGCACAGCCGTCAGCTTGCCTCCGCAGCCGTTCTGCCACTTACCTTTTTCTGGCACATTTCATAATTGCATTAGTGCTTGTTTATTTGCGCTATATTGTTGTGCTACATGATTGGTGGATCTGCGCTATTTTGTTTATTTGTACTACAGATTTGTGCTATATTCATAATCATTCATATTGTAATAGTGATTTATAATTGCATTTGTCGACTATTAGTCCAGCATTCGTTTTTGTTTATGAGATTTTTAGTCCAGCGGAAATCCTTTATTATCGTAGTCATCCACACCACTTTCACCATTCACACACAGCCGCCACCGTTGCCGCACTGTTTCCCCTGTCGCTCTCCCCTTTACTGACCTTTCACCACCCTGACGGAGGGTTCAGGCGCAGCCGGAGCGGCCTCGGTCCGACCTTCTGCCCGGCCGGGGCCATTCCGTGCAGGCCTCTGAGTGAGACCTGCACGGCTCCGATACACGCAGCGAAGCCCGCGACCGCGCGAGGTCTGCGCCTGAGATGGCGCCACCGGCTTTGTCAAGGAGGCAAGCAGACCAAAGGGGCCTCTGAAGCACATTTGGGGGCATCATAATTGGGCCTCTGAAGCACAACTGGCTGCATCATAACCAGCTGTCTAAGGAACAGACCCCGCTTTTCAGAAGGGCTTTTTCATTTTAAAGATGAACCAATCAAAAAGTAAATGAAGTATAATTACGCCTAAAATCATAGAATCGTTATATTTATTGACATAATATATTCATTGAATAAAACCCCCTGACCTGGTGACGTCACCAACCCCTCTAAGCGGGCCCACCCTTGGACTGGCGTTGAATCCGGATTTTCAAGGGCCTTCCATGCATCTGCTGGGGCCTCCTTTCGATCGTCTGGAGCTTCCCACCGACCAATACGGTCTGACCCTGCCCGTCAAGGGCCTCGTACGGAAGAAGATCCCTTTCTGGATTAAATGCGATGTTCTTTTGCGGCCATCAGGAGCCTCTTGACACTTTACAAGTGCAAAAAATTTCCCTCCCCTGCTGTGAAAAATGGTAAAAGCTTGCTCCCTGGTGGCGCAGGGCAATGCCCCACCCGAGTCCACTTTTCAGCGTCGTTGGCATGCCAGTAACAGGAAGGGCGCGAGACATGTACCGCTGATGCACTGCATGAGACATAATCAGGGCGGGTACATACCGCGAGGCCTTTATTTTTAGCCGCCGGCCACGGCGCGGTCGATCCGGCACAAACCGGATAAAACCGCCCTGATCGTGAGAGCCTCCGCAGCGTAACGAAAAATCACTTTCGTAAAGCACTAACGCACACAGCGCGGTATGACAGCACGCGACGATGTCCAGTATATCAGCCTCGTCGCGTATAACCATCGTCATGGTCAGATCTTATAGATTTTTCCACATGCAGCGTAAATTGCAAGGTAAAAACGTTAAGCTATGACAAGCTTCCGAAAAAAACTCAACTTGGTCTGCATGTCAAAATCAGGGCACAAAAATTAAGGAAATGTAACATTGGTGACACAAACATGATCTGATGGGAAGCGGATCAAGAATATATATATATATATATATATATATATATATATATATATATATACATCACTGTGTCAAAGAGCACTTATAAAAGGATCATCGAGCACAAGTCATGCTTTGTCGCAATCCATGCTGCGAAAACGTGCCCGAACGGACGACTGTCAGAAATAACAAATGTCTGTATTTCAAAACTGAGCATGCTCCCATTTCACCTCCACTGTCTGGCAATTTGAAAAAACGCACTTTACATACTGCCCGCCACCTAACCGATATTCTAAAATTATGATACGGGCGCGACCTGGTGCACAGCAAATCAAACATGGATCGCTCGCAACGTGGTCCGCGCGCACGGGAATCATCCGGATGCGCCCCGCATGTGGTGAAACGATCCGATGGCGGTGAAGAACGTCGGCTTGATTTGTAGCGAGAGCGGGAAAGAGTCTGGACAGGCGCCGAACTCCCGACCAGCCCTCGCATGGTGCCCACGCAAGTATCTGTGTGAGTCCCAGGCAGCCGCTTGGCCAATCAGGGCACACGCGCGGTTCCCTTTGTCTGTTGTTCGCACCGGAAGAGTTGCGCACTTTGGGTGATGCGCACTGATCGCCCGCCGACCAAATGCTGAAAGATGCGAAACGTACGCCCTTTGCCGCACAAAAAGCTTCCTTGAACGAAGGCAAACTGTCGATTAATATTCATCAATGCCTTAATCACAAGCTCATGCGTCAGAATGGCCAAAGCACGCCGCAGAGCGCAACGCGAGATACACCAGATCACATGTTCACTTCGGCAGTCACCCAGGCCACTTAAAGGTCGCGCCCAGTGCCGCAGCGCACGCCTCGACCGTGCGTTAGATGTTAGAAGCCGAGCGCCTATACTGCGTGCTGGCGGAAACGCACACAGCGCCTGCAACAAAGCCCCGCCCGCCCCGGGCGACGACGATTTCAGGCGAACGCGGCGCAACCGACGCCCCGCCCTGCCCCACCGCCCCGTCGCCGAAAACAGCCCTCGCCGGTCCGGCGCGAGCCAACGCGACCCCCGAAAGCCCCCACGGACTTGGAATTCGCGGCGACGTGCTCAAAGGGCGCGAACGGCACCAAAACGCGGCTCTGCCTTGTTGCACGGCTTCGGGGGCGTCAGCGCGCCCCAGCAGCTGGCGGACGGATCAGGGTCAGAGCAATGGCGTCGGCGACCGATAGTCCCGTCAGCGGCTCCACCGGTCGCCCCGGCGAGGCCCCGCCGTCCCCAGGCTGGAAAAGACGCGCCTGCTCACCGGGGCGACCGGGTCACCACCTGGCACGCCCCACCTACGCCCCCGGGGCTCAAAATTTCTGACGGGACGCTTGTGCGCGGCGGCGCTCGGGCGCCGTCGGCCCGGCCCAAATGTGCTTGTGAGGGGGACAAGATAAACGGGGCCACGCACAGATGTACTGGGTCAAATCGGCTGAAATTTGGCAAATATACGGCAGAATAGTCAACCTTTACGAAACCGGCGGCAATTTCCCCCTCGGAGGTCGTTAACCCCTCCAATTAGCTGCTTTCCTTATTGATATTGTTTTTGTTCGGTGTGTTCGCCCTGTTTGAAGGCGCCTACCGGCTTCCCCGTTAGAGCCTCCGACTCAGTTCTGTACCAGGATACAGGCCGACTATTCGGGCCTCGCCGTGCACGACGCCGCTGGCGGCAGCCGGCCGGTCCGGGGTCAGGCGAGGTCGTCTTCTGCGGGTACAAGCACACCTGCCGCGCGCGCGGCACGGGCGAGTCGGTCGGGCCGCCGCCGTCGGGTGGCGTACGGTAAGGTCGTCCGAGAGGGCGTAAAGGCCGGCCGACCGCCGCGCGTTGTACACATCGTGATCAGCCGCTGCGGTGGGAACGTCGCTCGTGCGCACATCGTCATCATGGCCGATACATCCGCCGCCACGCCCGCCAAGAAGGGCCGCAAGTCCAAGGACGGGGCCAAGAAGAAGGCCTCGAAGCCCGCCCACCCGCCTACCCTCGAAATGGTGAAGCAGGCAATCAAGATCGAGAGTGACCCCAAGGGGACGTCGGTGATGGCCATCAAGAAGTACATCGGCGCCCACTACAAGGTGTCGCCGGCCATGCTGAACCACATGCTGCGGCGTGCCTTCGACGCGGGCCTGGCTGCGGGGAAGCTGAGCCGTCCCAAGGGTCAGGGCGAGTCGCACCTGCTCGCCGGCCGCTACCGGCTGGCCAGCAAGGAGAAGAAGTCCACCGCCGCCGCCGCCGCCCCCGCCAAGCCCAAGAAGGCAAAGTCGCCCAAGAAGAAGGCGGCCGTCAAGAAGCCCAAGGCCAAGACGCCGAAGAAGAAGAAGCCGGCCGCGGCGAAGAAGGCCAAGTCGCCGAAGAAGGCCGTCAAGAAATCGCCCAAGAAGGCAGCGAAGAAATCGCCAAAGAAGAGCCCCAAGAAGGCAGCCAAGAAATAAGTGTGTTCCTGCTGGGAACGCTTTTTATTGTACAAATGGCACTGTGCTATATTCATAGTCATTCATATTGAACGGCGTTTTCCGGTAACTAGTGTAGTCGTGGCCGCGGCCGATCTCAATGGAGCTGGGATACCGCTCCACTATCGCACGGTAATACACAATTGTCAGCTGATCGCGTTTGTCTCCCAGAGCGGAGAGTGTGGACCGGAAGGAGCTCGGAGCTCGGAGAGAGAGTGGAGAGCAGAGAGAGAGAGAGACGTCCATGCGACACGTGGGCGGCACTGAGGCGAGAACTGCATGCTCACGTACTCGGCGTGCGTGCTCGAGACAAAGAGGGAGTCACGCGAATTTTCGAAGTTTATTCTGGTCGGTTAATTCGCCACGTCGTCCCTGTCAGTGTTTCGATCACAACAGTATTCCGATGAGCATTGAAGTTGCAATTTGATTTCTAAGCATCGATAATAAATGCCAGTATTTTGCAATATCAACAGCATGTCATCGTTTTGCACGATCTACTCCATTTTCGGGGGAAGCCGTCGTCAGCAAAGCCAAATCGCATTGCGCATTTTCGCCCTAAATCGGTGGCAAAAAAATCGCCGGCGCCACGTCGACAGCACGTCATGAGCGGAGACGACACGCACCAATGGGCGGCGCCGCACAGCGCCGGGCGCTATCCAGGTCAACGGCACTGTGCCGCCGGGCTAGACGCACGCCCACCCGCCGCTGAAAGGTCACCGACCTCGCGCTTGTCGCACCGGTCACACCTGTACGTCCGCGCATAGCACCGGCAGGAATCGGGTCACTTTCTGAGCGTGGCTAAGCCGTGATGTCGAGCGGCGAGGCGGCGCGAGTGAGTCGCTCCCGCTCTGTGCGAGTTGATACAGATACAGTAGGTACGGACGGAGGGCATCACTGGCTGTTTATCTCCGAGTGCAGTTTTCCCCCCGTTCGGAATCTGACGAAGCTGCGCCTCATCAGATGACGTCAGCCACAGTCTCGCTATCTGCCGCATGCTATTTATAAGACAGGAAGAGACTTGCTCGCGACTATCGACGCCCGGCGTCCGGACAAAGCGTGGGCGAAAGACCGAGAATATAAATGACCACTGGCGTCATTGGGAAATAACGGAGAGCACACGGGTTCATCAATACGTGTATCAGAGCTAGTCCGGAATTGCCCACATGACTGGGGAAAGCGCATTGTAGACAATCTTACTCAGTCCGCGATGGGTTTTAGCAGTATGACCCACATCGCCACGCTGTCAAATACACGACTGTGCGCGCCATCTAGCAGCAAGCTACACATGATAGTTTCACATCCCCGCCCCAGATGGCACTCTCGTAGCTCAGGGGATCCAAGGCCACCGATGTCGACGCAGACAGCATTTCGCCTCGAGGCGGAGGGGGCCAGCGGCGCGACCTAGTCATGCAACAATCCGCGGATAGTTCTAAAATAAAATGAAACGTACTTTAAAAAACGTATTCCAAGCTGCACTTTGTTTACTTTTTTCGCCGTTTGGTGGTTCTCAGAGCAGACGGTGTGGCGCGAGCAAAAACGCACGAAAATGCACGAGCTTTACCTAGGAAACCCAGCATCTCGACTCACCGCTCCAGAACGCGTCACGCGTCTATTCCCGCGGCTGCTGGGCAAGCGACAGCAACGCGACGGTCACCGCCCGGCACCCACCCGCTTACCTTTTACGAGCGCATGGTAGTTGATGGTGTCCATGACGTATCCCTTCTGGGCCATATTGTCGATGAGGCGCTGGAGCCGGCGCGCGCCGTCCGTCGCCGACGGCCCGTTGGCACAGGCGTTCAACAGAGACGTATAGGT